TTAATTTCATAAATTTTATCGAAAATATTTAAGATAATGATTCTATTAATGAAAGTTAGCATTTGAGTTTTGATAAAATCAAAAAAATTTATTATGCTGAGATATTTTTAAAAAATTCTATACTTTAATTTATGACTTTTAAGGTTGAGGGATAGTTTGCTTTTTTATTGCAAATGCAATTAGATGTGAAAAATTTTTTATTTTGGGATAAGATTTAAATTTATAATCTATTTTATTTAAACGAAATTTTACTATCATACTTTTTTGTAATCGAGTTTCAAAATAATAATTAATAGTAAAATTGAAATACAATAATAATGTCGATTATCTTTTAGATCAATTGATATATTATTGAAGTTAATATTTAAATATTATGAGTTCAAAAGAGTTTAAGCAATTAATATTCTCTTCAATCAAGTATGTAATAGGATAAAAGATTTAAGGGTAGATTAAGAACTTAAAAAAAATATAATAATAATGTTAAATATTAATCCCATAAATTTAGTTTTAATTTCAAGTTTTTTTTTTTATAATTTATAATAAAATAAGCATTATTATTAATTAATTATATTCCAAAACAAAGTCAATTGTTCATCATCAATACTTACAAATGGTCTTTGCGTATGGTTTCAAGGCAAATATTTTTATTTGTATAGACAACTGCATCATCACCTGTAAAATATAAAAAGAAACTGATAAAAATGTTATTGTAAACTACTTTCTTATAATGTTCTCTCCTTTTTTCCTTAATCTACTTTCTCCCTTCGTTCTCTTAGATTTTTTAATTTATTTTAACGTTGAATTTCGATTCTGACGGTCCTTAATTTTCTTTATTTTTTTAACGTTCGTACATTAATTCGATATCTAGCAAATAATTTTTTTCTAAATGATATTTATTTAATTTAATTTTGTATTTTGTTTATATATTTTATAATTGTATACCGATTTTAAATTTTAAAATTTTTCTAAGATTGCATGTTATTATAGTATTAAACTATATTCACCAAAATCGATAAACTAATATATAATAATTAAATAAATATATAACAATATTCTAATTCAATATATTAAAATTTTAAAAATTCTAATTCTTAGAAATTAAGAAATAAAAAATAATAAAAAAATTGAAAAAAATAAATTCAAAGATTTCTATTTATTTATTTATTTTGTTTTTCTTCTGTCCTTCTTCGCAAAGCTAAAGGAAAAAAAACAGGTAAACAATTAGAGCTTTCCTTTTTTTTTTTTTCCAACAAAATTTGAATTCCAAATCACAATCATCGTCCAATTAACAATCTCTTTTATAAATCTTCCAAATTCTAAATGGAAACGAAGTGAATATTCATTATTTTTAAATATTTATATTCGAATTTATTTAATATTTATGATATTTAAATTCATTGAAATATTTTTTAAATTTAATATTATTATTTAAATCTAAATTCATTTAAATAAATATTATCAATTTAAATATCTAAATCTATTAAAATATTTATTTATTTATATTTTTTATGCAGTCAAGGAAGGAATGGGTGGTGGATGGCACTGCACATCCATTTGATGTCGAAGCAACAGCACAGAAGGAGGGTTGAAGTTGCGTTTTTCTACTGATGGCTTTAGCATAAGTGAAGAAATGCAGATTTTCTTTTTCTTTTTTATCCTTCATTTTATATTACTCCTTAGAGTTTAATTTTTCCTTTTTTATTTTAAAATTATAAAATAATTTTATTAATTATTATTATATAATAAACTAATAATAAATAAATTTTATTATTATATTATGAATTAATAAATAAAAATGTATTATTATATAATCTTTCTCTCTCAAATTGTTTAGAAGTTATTGATTTTTATGAAATTTAAGAAAAATTTTTTTACTTTAATGTATTTAATTTTAAAATTTATTTTTTTATGAAATTAAAGTTTTATGATTTTTATATCAAAAATAAAAAAAAAAAAATTTAAAATATTGTATAATTATGACAAGAATCCAAACACTTTATATAACAAACTATACAACCCAATATCTAGTTGGTTGAATAAATTCTTAAATTGCAAAATCCTAACAAATGTCAGTGTTGAAATTGTGAAATTATATTTTTTTCATTCATTTATTCATTCAATAAGTATTTTTATAAATTCATAAAAATCATATAAAAGAATAAAAGATGAATCATTAAAAAATTAAAATGATAAAAGAACATATTTTCTTAATTCCATCTATGAATTTAGAGTTTTAAATATTTAAAAAAGAGTACATAATTTTAAGACATCTCAAAAAGAAAAGATGGACGAAGAAAATGAGTCGGATGGAGTAATAAATTATTATTTTAATTAATTTTTAATTATTTATAATAAAATTATTATTTAGCATAAAAATAATTTAATTATTTATTAATTTTATAAATATTAAATAATTAAAATTTTTATTACATATAAATTTTAATATAATATCTTTAATGATCAATTATCTTTTTATTATCATTAATCTCATATCCATAGTTATTTTTTTATCAAACACATATTTCCACCGTTAATTTTAATATTATCTTTACAACAATTAATATCATCTTTATCATTATTTTTAATTTAACCGAACCAATTTAACCATTCATCCAAATGGATCTTTAGAAGACCCTGATTGAAGAATAGGTTCACCTTCATTCTAAATTTGACATGTGATTATGTTTTTTCATTACATCAGCTTATTTGATGATTTAGTGAAACCTGATGAAAGTGTTTTACTATACATTGTTGATGAATTTGGGAATTGTTGTTATTTTGTTTGATGTTGTTGGACTTACTTTAGGGAAATTAGGATGATTGAATCATGGTGTTATTGTTGATTACTAGGTGGTGAAAGTGTGGAAGAAGACAGAGACGGGGAGAGAATGTAGTTCATCCTTAGAAGGTGTCTCTGGAGGACCTTTAGCTTGGGATCTCAAAGAAGCTTTCTCTTCCACGAAATGTGACATGCTCCAAGTGCAATGGGTAAGCTTCTATTTTCCTTGTTTTCCTTTGTCTGAACTCTTGGTAGTATTAGATTACATGTGATGTGTTATTTATGACAGCAAAGGCTCGAAATCAGGAACTTCAATGCAGTGCCCCGGTTGCTGGTATGAAGGTCTCACCCGGCCACCTTGGTCCTTCTATGATTCAGCAAATGCAACATCCTTGCAATTGCTAGGGAATTAGCGAGACAATCAATGACAAGGACCGCTGCCCTCAGTGCAAAGGTGAGAAGGTTGTTCAGGAGAAGAAAGTGCTGGAAATCATTGTTGAGAGGGGTATGCTGAATGGACAGAAGATTACATTTCCGGGCGAAGCTGATGAAGCGTTATGTTTCATCATTTAATAGTAATGCGGTGTTGTGTATGCACTTGGTTTGACATTAACACGGAGCCTAATTGGTTGGTTTTTGGTGTGTTTTGCTGCCGGATACCGTTACTGGGGACATAAATTTGTGTCCTTCAGCGGAAGGAACATCCAAAATTCAAGAGAAAGGGAAAGGACCTGTTCGTGGAAAACACATTCTCTCTGACTGAGGCTTTGCGCGGCTTCCAATTTGTATTTACCCGTCTAGATGGTCGACAACTTTTGATCAAGTCAAACCCTGGGGAGGTTGTGAAGCCCGGTAAGTACTTGGGAATGCTTACACTCATCTCCTAAGGCTTTCTTCTATCGATTGCTTGTTTATTAACTTGTATAAATTCTTATTCCAGATTCCTTCCAGGCAATCACTAATGAGGGGATGCCCCTGTATCGGAGGCCATTCATGAAGGGCAAATTGTATATTCACTTCACTGTTGAATTCCCTGATTCTCTGAGCCCTGGCCATGTTAAGGTACTTGAGGCTATTCTGCCGCCAAAATCAACCCCTCATTTGTCTGATATGGAGCTGAATGAGTACGAGGAGGCCACACTCTGAACATAGAAGAGGAGATGAGGAGGAGGTGTGGTGATACGAAGGTTTAGGGTTTAGGCTTTAGAGTTTATTATGTTGGGTCTATAATAATAAATTATATAGCGATCATTTTTATATCTCCTTGATTTTTATTCGCAATGAACAATAATAACAGATCCTCTTAATTCTCTAATAAATTTGAAATTTAAAATTTGTTATATCTTAATCACACATGAAAGATTTTAAGGATCTGTTTTGATATATAAGTAAAAGTTTAAACTCAAATTTGTTAGATATATTTTGTGGGATAAAATCGTAAAATTTTTAAGTGAAAGCGGATAATATCTCGTAGGTTTGGTGTACGTCTGCACAAATGATATTAGAGTGGTTATCAATCGAACATGAGCTAAGTGTTACGCTGTGAAAACTATCTCTAGAATCCTGCGGGAGTTAAGTGTTATATGATGAAGGTCACCTCTAGAATACCAATGTCTGCTGTGATCTTGTGTGTACTTTGTGTTGGACTTGCTTAATGTTTAATGTGATTTGGTGGATTTGTATATTTTATGTTGAGCTTGACGGGAATATCAAGTTTTATAGGAGAATTTGTGACATCCCAATCTCATATCAAAAGATTTTAAGGATCTGTTATTATATTTAAGTAGAGGCTTACACCCAAATTTGTGAGGCACATTTTGTGGGACAAAATTGTAAAACCTTTGAGTTAGAGCAAACAATACCTTACAAGTTGGGTACGAATCTCCATAAATGGTATTTGAGTGATCACGAGTTAAACAAGAGTTAGGTGCTACACTGTGAGAGCCACTTTTAAAATTCTGTGATTTTGTTTGTACGATTCTGTATTTGGTGTTGGACTTTACAAAAATGTCAAATTTTAATAGTAAAAGTTTATAACACTCTAATCTCACATCGGAAGATTCTGAAAATCTGTTTTTGTATATAAATAAAAATTTAAACCTAAGATTAAAGAGGTATCTTATGTACAATAAAAACGTGAGAACTTCGAGCCATGTAACTCTCTACAAATTCTATTCAAACAGAAGAAAGTGCCTTAAGATACAGAAGAAGTGTCAATGGATGTTCGCATGGCTGCACACCCTGCCACCTAGTTCGACAACCATCCAAACGAGCACACGATAGTTAGTTCGACTATTTGTAACTGTCTCAAAAAAAAAAACATGACAGAAAGGAAAATGAAACAATTCTTGATCACATTGCTATTGCAATCTGGTCCATCTCTCTACATGATAGTTCAAGATATATGAAAGTCATTGTCAAAACTCCATGAAAGAATAAACTCAACTTCCTATAAACATGAAAATTTTGTACAGAAAAAAGGCCTCATCTTAATAAGGAATGTGTACCTTTTTCTGGAGATAACGAAATACCAGGGAAACAGGAAATTTTGGGTCATTCTTAGATTTTATACATAATCTTGCTATAACTAGAAGCTTTTTAAGCTCCCTAGAATCATAGTTGTTCCCTAGGTCTGGATCTATCATCATATGAATGGAACTGCTAAGGCGAGATCCTTGGACCCATTCGATTAAATCAGTGCCTCCTTGCTCCGATGACTGGCCTGTTATTAGCTCCAATATCAGCACTCCGAGCTGAAAAATTATGTTGCCACATTCTTGACCCAAACATTCTGCAAGGAAAGAGAAAAGATTTGTGAATAAAGGTTACATTGGAGAGGGAAGCAACTCAATGCAAACATTCGTAAGTATAGTAGTAACAGATCACCTTCCGAACATGAGGAATGAGGCATTTTAACATAAGTTCCAACTGTACTAAGAAGGCCAACATCAGACAGCTGTAATAAAGAATGAACAATTATTATTTCTATGGTGATATCTTAAGATGCCAGTATTTTAATCTCCAAAGGCTAACATGAAAAGGGGACGAAACTCAACCTTTGCCGTATAGTTTTCATCTAACATGATGTTACTTGAGCTGATGGAGATGTGATAAACCGGTGGATTACTGAAAAGAAGTAAGTATTCCTGCCAGCAGATAGTCAACACATTATGTTACACAGCATCCCAGCGTTGTGAACTAAGAAAACAAGATAACTAGCAGGTAAAACATCAGAAGGAATTACTCAGCAGGTGTTCTAAAATGTGATACCATAGACGTGGGGAAAATGAACAACAAGCAATTGAGCCTCAGAGCCATGAAGAGAGAGAGCTACTGTCGGGTATGGTCCTTCCTGAGGAGGGAAGCTTAGCGCCTACCACATTCCTCAAGGGTTTGGGATGCTTATTCAGAGAGTATGGAGTCTTGTAGCACTTGCAAGTAAAAGAAAAAGCCATGGACTATATATCCTTTAAGGCAGACAGATGATTTTGGGACTTACCAATGCTGCTGCCACACCAACAGCTATTTGTAGCCTTGCTTTCCAATTCAAAGGAGTTCTGAGAGGATCTGTCAAGAGCCAGTGCTTAAAACAAAAGAAAATTGCTGCAATTATACATAAATCATGCTTTATAGATTTACCATTAAACTGTTCCTTCAAGCTTCCATTTTCAATATTGTCAAACACTAGTAACCTGCAAAGATACAACAAAATTATCTATCACAATAGTTTTATCATAGAAGCTACACAAACACATATGCACATATTGAGTAAAGGGAAATTTGCAGAGAAAAACTTATGATTTTTACATTAATTCAGTTAATGTGTGAACCAATGCATCATATAATAATATTCAATGTAAAGCTCTTATAATATCAAATACACCTTCTCATAATGGCAGCTACATTTTCTTCTAAATAAAGTCTCAACTTTTTTATCCAAAAGCAAGCAAATCTGAAAACGAAAGTTAGATATCAACCTCTTATGCCCTGTGGAAAACCCCCTGAGTGCAAGAAGATGACGGTGATGCAATCGCCCCAAGAATTGCACTTCTCTGTAGAAGCTCTCTTTTCGTTCATCAAAAGCTCTTACTTCTTTTACCAAAGCAACTTCACCACCTTCAAATTTGGCCTTATAGGCAGCCCCATGGGAATTGCTATATACTATCCTGTGAAAGCCATCAGTTGCCCTCTTTACATCTTTGTATGAGAACTTCTTCACAAACAAAATTGGGCCTGGAAATAACAAAGGGGATATAATATCATCATAATTGAGAATGCAACACATCAAAATCAACATTAATACTCCAAATAATAACATTCTTAAATCACAGAGCACTGCCAATTTTAAAAAAAGTTCCAATTGTATTTGCTGTTATAAATATCTTTAACATGACTCAGTAAGATAGTAAGTGATATCTATAAATGAGATGATAAAATGAGTATGAGACACTTGTCATACAATGACTTTACCTCACCCACACAACAGGTTGAACTATAATAATATAATCTTATAGGAGGTATGCTCCGATGTTTAAATTTTAGAAGTGTTGCACTCAATGCTCAACTAGAGGTCATTTATATCAGTTCACAGCTCAATATCTTGTAAAACTAAAAGAAAAAAGGAAAAATTGATTTTAGTAGCTGATAAATTAGCCATGAATGGACAAGGATAAACATGTTTTAACAAATGATACAAAAAATAAGTTTACTGTTAAAATAACAGGAAATCAACAAAGAATCACAAAGAAAGCAAATCAGGATAAGAAAATGCTCCAATCATATAACTATTATAATTTACATCTTAGAAAATCCAATATCCAGTGGCCTCAACTGCAATAGTTTTGAATATTTTTAGTACTAGAAGTCATTTTTTTCAGTGACACTGAAATAATGATACTGTTCCTCATAAATTAAAAAAAATTATTACATTAATATAGGAAGGCGATTTCAGTGCTCCTTGGTAGGTGCTAGTTTACAAAGAAACAGCCTAAAGGGGGTTTCATCACATGAAAGTATACAGAGTTGAGTTGATTAAAGATATTTCGAGTGGCATATGCATTTCCAATCATATAAATGAGAAAGTGGTATAACCACAAAGCTAATAGAGACCTCTGAAGTTATGTAAGGAATACAACTTGAATCTTGCTTTTCTAATAAGATGATGCTCTCCGGAAAAAAAAAAAAAAGAACAAAAAGTACCGCTGTTTTGTAAAACTGAGAACACTCTAATTCCCTTTAAAACTGGAACATAGAAGCCTAATCATTTAGGCAAACAGAAGCGAAGGATATTTGTATTACAAGACAATGTCTGTTAAAACATACAACACACCTTCTAAAATTCCTAGCCACACTCAAGGAAAATTCAGTTTCCATCAAAAGGAGGGAAAAGAAAGAAAACAAAAGGGATATTACCTAGATTTCTTCTATCTTAATACAAAAAAAAAAAAAAGGAAGAGAGAATGCTGCTTCTTTTCCCTGTCTAATTACAGCATATGATCAAGATTTATTACATGTATACATAGAGAGAAAAACACAGAGATATTTGTGTGTATAGCTACATTGTATCATAAGATTAAAAAACCCAAATGATCTACCATCAAGAGTATCATTGTTTAGCAACCAATACTTCTAACCTTAGAACTCGGAAACTGATCAACATTATAGATTAGGCAAGAATCTTCGAAGTTGATAATCAAAATTCTCAAGATTTTACCTTTTCCAAGATCAAGTTCATGACAGTCCTTCAAACCTCCAAACCAAAAGAAAATTTTTTTTTTTCCACATGGAACTCATCCATGTAACAGTACACAAAATTAAACCCATCTTTAATTCAGCAAATTCAAGCCAAAATCCTCCATTTCCATCAAATTTAAGTAATTTTTCTCTAAGATCATGTTCCATGAACAATTACAAGAAATCTCATTTACCGTTAGTAAAATCCAACGTTAAAAACTACTATTTTCCCAGAAAACAAAACGGTTAAAAGACAAAGAATTGCAGTCCAACAGTTTGCTTTTTTTTTTTTTTTTTCAGTTAACAGTTAAAGAAAAGAAAGTTTTTTTTTTTTTTTCCAGTTAACAGTTAAAGACAAGAAAGTACCAGAACGAGATCGATGAAGCCATGCAAGAAGACGAAACCTGAGTTTCCGGATCATAGGATCCATTCCAGAAACAACTCTCTGTTACTTTCTGAAACAACACTCTTTTTTGTTCTCTTCAGTTAACTTGTATGACACTGATGCTACAGCGGCAGTCAAAACAGTTATTACTAATCTTCATTTCTTTTGTTTTCTGCTTTTTATAATATAACGGGTTTGCAAATGCTGTTACTTTTTGTTGGCTTGGAAAGTAAGAGAGAGATGATGAGTGAGTGGCCTAAGTGGTCATTGAATCTGTTAAATGGCCTCAGTAAAGTGGCAGTATTGCCCATGGTTTTACGGAATTGTGGAGCAACAATATATCTCTCTCTCTCTCTCTCTCTGAGCATCAACAACACATGTTATGTTTACCAGTGGCAATGCTTACCTTTATCTACAATCACAATCATCCATTTTTAGATATTGGAGCTTGAATTTACCCATTATTCAATTCAACAATTTAATCAGTCCATTGATAGAGTAAAGAATTTTCCGACTGTGTTACTTTAGAAAAAGAATGATTTTTGCGGATAGGAATCCTTTGGATGCTCATTTGAAATAAAAGCTTCGTGTCATTAACTTGTCCTAAGAGCAATGAAAATTCTTTAGTCAGTTATTGCAATTTATTTTTGCATGTATAGAAAATTTTCTATTTTGACCCCTTTACAAATATTTGTTATTCGGCTCCCCATATACAAATCCTAGAAAGTGATGTCTAAGTTTTGTAATTTGCTAATACTTTTACTAGTCCTGGTAAAAATTTTAGATTTCTAGCTTTAGGTAATATCCAAGTATGAGAAGTTAAGATTTAAAGCACATCATCAGTCACTGTATAGCAGAAAATGGAATCATCTTGGTCCAGCACCTGGTGGCCCCATGCAAGCTGCACCCACTTTGATTCCTGTGGGTATATGACATCTCAAGCTTTTATTTTTTTTAATAAAAAAATATTAAATAAACTAAACTAAACTTCAAATTTCAAACTCATTCTTTCTTTGACTTTGGCTGGTAAGAGCTCTACCTCAATGGCTCTGTCTATGTACATTTGCCCCCATTCCCATTGTCTCAACCCCAAAATTGGTACATTCATATGGTTTAGGATTGCCTTTTTATTTTGTTTTCAGAAAAACACGAATCAATGATGATAAATATCACATCATGGACAAAATATAATTTCCGAACCAGTAGACCATGAGGCTCGGCCTCAATGGAGTGATCCACAGGCTGGGAAAGAGACCCAGGTCCTGCATAGCAGCCAATCAGGTACAGGCCCTGTGGTATTCACTCCCAGGCCTATACACGTTTAAATCCTCTGAAACCCAATAAACGAAGTCTTTTGTGGGCAAGAATCTGGAGAGACAAGTTGGGATAATCCCTCAATTGTGGGACCAAGTAACAAAATTTACACTGTTTAGATCAGTTTCTTGGTTTTGGTCCTTTTCCATGATCTCATAACGACATAGAGACAAAAGAGACTGATAAGTTCCAGTGTCAATAATAATATACAGAGCAATTTTTGGTGGGTAATTTCGCAGTTGGGGCATCCTCAGTCTAAACAAAGAAGCCCCTGGAAGCAATCCTGGCATGGACACATTAGCAGCTCAATTCAAGCTCACCCTTTTACCCCTTTTAGCTATTTCTTTTCTTTTCTTGCCTTTTCTTCGGGCCACTGATTTCAAATACTGCGGTATGTTTTCTTCTTTCTTTCTGCTAGATTAATGTTGGGTTCTTTTCCTTTTCCTGAAATATCTACTCTAAAGGGAACTAATATATGTTAGTCCATGGATTCTTAATTGCTTTTAAGTTCTTTTGGTTGCTTTATCGTTTTTTTTTTTTTTTGTTCAATTGCTTAGTTTTTCTTCTAATATATGTGCTGAGTTCCAGGATTGAAATCGATGCAGATAGTGAAGGTAATTATGTTGTAAAAGTCGATGGAGTCGATATATCACCTAATCCTGTGGTTAGAGGCAAGCCAGCCAACTTCACGATCTCAGCTTCTACTGGTAACTTTCCATTCTTTCCATTTTCGAATCGTCTTTGCCTTGAATTTGACATTGTAGGACGTGTTTAGTACCTAGGATGATAAATTAAGACAAGAAAGTCTTATTCTAAATTTTTTGTGTAAGATTAAAAGTAGGATAGGATAATATTTATCTCATATCATGTTTGGTTCTAGATATGAACAATGTACAAAAAATAGGCCTTTGATTAATGAGAAATTAATAAAATTACTTCATATTTGACTAAAGACTCAATTCAGTTGAGCTTTAGATGCTAGAATTTAAGGCAAAACACCCTGTTGAGATGTGGGAATAATTGGTTGGAAGGGTTAAGTATCTAGCTTTACATGGCTCCCCATATACAACCCTCATCCCATTTTAGTCCATCACAATTCATATCACGAAACCTAATTATTCCTAGTATTCCTCCTGATTGACAATATCCTACATCAGCATCCAATTTCTCAGGAGGATTATGCTCTTGCCTATAAAGTTAATTCGAAATTGTTGGAATGGTGCTAGTGTTTTGATGACAAAACCACTGCCTCAAAATCTTTAGCTTTTAAATAAAAATATGGATTCAATAGCTTAAACAGAAATTCTTGGCATCCAGAGACTTCCTTGCGCCATTTCACCAAATGCCTATGTTTGTGGTACATATTGGTTTATGTATCTGAGAATTGCCTTTTGTATTGATGTCGCTGGTTTATGGAGATAGCCTTTTTTGGCATTTCATGAATGCCTATATTTTTCAGGTCAAGCTATCTCTGGTGGCAAAGCTGTGATTGATGTTTCCTACTTTGGGGTACATATCCATCAAGAAAATCATGAACTTTGTGAGGAAACATCCTGCCCTATTGCAGTTGGCAACTTTGTACTCTCTCACAATGAAGCTTTACCTGGATTTACTCCACCAGTAAGTTTCGCATACCGGGATGCTTTTTTGTTCTGAAACTATTTTCAGTATAATTCAACGTGCAAGTTTGCCTTATAAATTGACTTGAACATTGTGCCATTCAACTAGCCTATTCTCTGATATATTCAGTATCTCACATTTATAAGCTCTCACTTCAATCTTTATCTTGTGGTGTTTATTTTTGTTTTTATCTTTTATAAAATGAAACAATTCACACTGCTTTTGGTCTGTGGAAATTGGAAAACCAAAGAAAATGATGAAGAAAACTTCTGTTTCTTTGGTTCTTACTGGATGTTTAAGACAGAATACAAAGCAGTGTGCGAAGTTACATATATTACTGACTCATTAACCTCAAGCCTCATGCAGGCACTGTTAGAAATCTCATAAACACTTTTCTTTGACCTATGTGTGACATCCTTTGCTAATTCCAAACTATTTAATGTTGTCATAAAATTGATGGTTGCTTCCTTGACTTCTATTTCTATGGGCAATATCTAACTAGCTACATTCATATATGTATATTGTGTTGCACCTGCTTCCTTGCACCAGATTTTCTTTTTTCCTTAAAGTAAGAAATAGAAAAAGCTAACTTGTTTCTATTTCAGATTATGTAACCCTGGCTTCACTTTGCCCATCATTTTTGTATTTATCCTTGCCTGTTTGATATGCACTTGTGTGGTCAGTGATTAGCTTAGAGACCTTTGCCAACGATATCCTGTTTCATGAGGTCTCTTTTCTCTGTTGGGTAGTATCCTCTCAGGAAATCCCTAAAATGGTAGTTTAGGAGTTGTTTGCCACTTTGGCTTTCAGGATCCTGCTGCTAATCTGTGAAGTTGACCTGCACTTTTCTTCAAAATGTTAGTGTGGGATCCAAAACTCATCTATGCTTGATGTGCTTTCCAGTTTTCAGTTTATCCTTGATAATAAGACATTACTTTCACCCAAGGCTTGTTAAACTATGGCCGAGTTTCCAACTGAGGAAGTGTAATAATTGTGATGTATTGCAACCTTTAGCAAAGCTTTATGAAGTGATTTAAAGAAGAAACAAAATAAAGTGTTGGATTAAAAGAAAAAATAAGTCCAGGTGGAAGAATCCCTTTGAGGAAGAAGTAATGAAAACTTGTGCTTTGAACAAACAAAGCATGACTTTTGCCTTTTAATTTTCTCTAATGTTCTGTTTCACATTTTAGGCATCAATTTAATGGATATTTTGAGAGATTTTAGTAATCACCTACTGGCTACTGGCAATCCTTGCAAATTTTCATTTCTCTTTAGGCAATTAATAATTGAACTCAAATGGTGTTGTTCAAACCAAGCACCTTGTCTTGCACCCATAGTCATAGACCAAGTCTATCATTCACTGCAGTCATGAGTAGCCTTTTTAAGTTTTCTCCGTTTATCATTCTGTCATGGATTTTTTATTCATCTGCCTTCCCCTGTCCTCTGGTATCTTTCTTTCTTTCTTGTCTTCATCTAACTTGTTCTGCATTCATTCTTCTGTGGAGGTTTTTGTTTTAACTGCTTCTTTACAACTTGGTTTGACTCAAGAGTGTTTTTGGATTTTGGAATTTAATCATTTTGATAATTTCTTTTTCCTCCTCATAGCTTTTTGTATGCCCCAAAAATGTTATGGAAAGATACTCCATTTAAACCAATCCGGTTCTTAACTGTCGGTAGAGACCAGAATCCAGATTTTTCCTTTCTTTTTAGCACTTAGGTGCAAACTCCATTCGCCATCTTTGTAGTTTGATCCCTAAAGAACTCAGGTGGTTAGGGAACTCAGGTGGGAAGCACGATGGGAAGTGAAATCAGATGCACTGGTTTCAAACTGTAGGCTTTCATTCACTAACCAATTACATGACAGACGACAAAGAGCAATTAGCTGATTTTTTTCTGTGGCTTTTGCAGGGCTCCTACACACTTAAGATGACATTATCGGGTGAGGAAATTCTGCAGTTAACTTGCTTTACGTTCAACTTCAAAATCCGTTTAGGTGCTTCTGGATCTTTGGTCTCTGATAGCTGATCCACCAAGTAAATGACTGTATAACTCTTTGGCATATATTATATCCTATTTCCTGTGGAGAGATCTCAAGTTTCTACAATCGTTGTACTTTTATTCTACTAAAATTGCCATTTATGTATAAAACATGCCATTGTGAGTGTTCAGACCCTGATTTGAACTAAAAATGTCTGGTCTTGTTAGCACTACTCTCTACAAAATTGTTATGCTACATATACAAGAACATTAGCATATCAAGGTATAACACTTCATTAGTCAATTATGAATGTATTATTGTCTTTCTTCGACGCCGGCCAACTTCTAAATTAGAGTCAATCACCCTGACTAGCCAGTTTAAATGGAGGTTCAGCCTGTTCTTTTTAGTTTCCGCTTTCATTTGTTGCTAACTTTTTATTTATTAACCTTTCATTATTTTTTGTACAAAATAAGTCACAATCATGACTCAAATTCAAGCTATTTTTACTAATAAAAAAGAGAACACCTACCTAAAGTACATAAAAAATGAAAATGCTATTTCTAGGAGAAGAATTTTAATAACAATAGAGTAATGATGATTTCTATGTACCTGTTTTGATCCTTTTTCATTTTCACCTTTTATATAACAGAGTTTGCATATCTAACTTCCTTGGGATTATCAAATGCTTGGAATGAAATGTATTGAAGATTTCAATCAGCTATGTTGTTTCATCTGGATATAGTATTTGATACTTTTGGTGGCCAATGGCATTGAAGATTAAGGTACAGTCTGCTGCAGTGGGATGCACCCAATATCCCACTGTCGCTTAGTTTCTTGGATTGTGTTTTCTGTTGTTTTTGGAATTTCTTGCTTCAGTTACAGAAAGAAAAAAAAAAAAAAAAACTGGCCTTGTATAGTTAAACAGGGCTTCTAAGAAAATATAATTTAATGGATGAAATACATTCAAGTTACAAATAATTTTCTGCAGATATAAATGCAATTTACATAGTGTTTGAAGTCACTGTTTCGGATGATACTTATGCCAGAAACTTTTAAGCCAATTCCCACGATGAATAATATATATTAATATTAAAAAAAAAATCAAATTCCTGGAAAGAAAATGGTGACCAAGATAAAATTATTCATCAACAAAAGGTGAGAGCGGGAAGATCTGCTACAATGGTTAGAAAAGAAGAAAGCGGACATTGACAAATGAGAGCAGGCTACTAAAAAAGGCTAATGAAAAAGAACAGAAACAACCAAGAAGTTTCCAAGAAAACAAACATTACGTAAGAAACCAATCAAAAAGCAAAAAAATTGTCTTGATTGATCAGTCAGCCATAAAAGAGCATTTTGTGGAAGGATTTCTCAGAAACTTAGCAAAAAGAACAAGCTCTGTGCAATGGATGAGTGGCTTAGATTGAATAGGAGCAGAGAAAGTCTTGAGTTGCAGTCCATGAAGCCTCCACAGAGAACATCAATGTGAGGTACTTAAAGCATTTTTATTAATTCGCCATGAATTCCAACACACGACAATGAAGATTAAAAATAAACCTATGCCGTCTGAAACAGGAAGACTTGTGACAGCTACAACTTATGGACAAATATGTTGTACAGAAACAAAGGACTAATGATATTAAAAGAGAGACTTACATCAAAACCCATTAAATCTGATGAAAATTTTCTATTCCTCCACAAAGACAGACGGTATTTGGGCAATCTTAGACCAATCCTGCCCATTTTCTTTACTAACCCTTGCTTTAAATTGCTTAGTCATACCTTTTAGCTTCAACTTACGGCAACGAACTAGGTGAAGAAAACCATTTGGAATCATCTGTAAGTTTTCACAATACCAAATTTCTATATCCTTTACAATGGCTAGAGCTCCTTTTTGGATTACCAGTACCTCTAGGTCTTGTAACTTCCAAAGTTTTTGAACTCTAAGCAAAGGACAGCCTCCCATGGAGCAAACCATAAGTTTCCCTGTATATGAATCAGCTAACAACTTAAGAACTCGAAGGTTTGGGAGCTTCTCTAGATTAGGCATGGTATCATCCAAAAGTCCCGACATTGACAGTGTAATCTCCGTGAGATTTTCTGGGAGTTCTTGCACAACTAGTGGATTGTTCAACCTTCCCATTAAGTATATAGTGGAAAGATTCTTGAGGCTGGACAAAGGCCTTAAGTATAAATCGGAAGGTTGAACTGATTCATCATCAATTGATCTCAGCCTTAAAGATTCTAGGTGAATCAACGTTGCAATCCATTTGGCCAAAGACTTCTGTTTTGACAATGCTAACTGGAATGCAAGTCCCAATTTTCTAAGATTGATTAACCTATTAAGGCCACCTTCCAATGGACTCTCTTCATCAAGAAATGCTCCCCATAATGTTTGGAGATGGATTGGAGAGTAGGCACTTGTTGGAGCAACAAATTTACAACAGTATCGGTCACTCAAATACAAATCGAAGTTGCTGCATCTTCCATATAGTATTAGGAAGGGTGCAAATATGTGTGTTTTTCAAATCCAAAGTCTGGAGCTTGGGCAAGTGGCCAATTGATGATGGGAGCATCTCTAAGTAAGTTCCTCTCAAGCCGAGATACCTCAGTTCTTTCAGCTTCCCTATTCCTTAGGTAACTTGGGTCGAAATACACCTTCAAGGTCGACTATTAGCAACCGCAATAAAACCTTCCCGAAATTCCTCTGCGAAGACAGTTTCCCATCTCTTCTCCAGGTACAGGTCCCTCCCTAAAATCAAATGAAAATAGAGAGCGTAGGTCGCCATAATAAGATCGCAAAGAACTATTTGTTGTTCTATTGCCATGAATGTGATGGAAGCAATCATCCTGCTCATCAAGGTGATTAGCAACTCTCCGAATCATACCTGTGGTTGAGGATGAACAGGAACATGCAGCTTCGTCTGGTACTTGTACAAAGCTAGCTTTCTTAGCTTTTGACACCCACTGATCTCTTAAAGGATGGTGCATCCTGCACTTCTTTATTTTGCCATTAGACTTCCATTTAACCACTTGAATCATACCTTGATTCTCCAACTCTTTTAGATACTTTTCTGCAATATCTTCTGCCGCTTTTTTGCTACCTCTTTGTTTTTCGATCAGTCCTTCAGCAACCCACAGCACAATCAATCTCCTCACTGGGATATCATAGTTTTTATCAAATAGCGCACAGTAGGAAAGGCAAAGCTTCAAAGGCGATGCCAAAGCATCACCAACCAGGCTCGAGGTATAGTATGTTGATGCTTGATCTTTATAAATTTGCTCTAACACTGCTGAGTGGTCTAGAGTCGCTGGTCTGGTCTAGAGTTGCTGGTGTGCTTGACAAAATTTCTGCTGCTGAAGAAATTGCTGGAGGTGAGCCCATGCATTTCTTGACAATATCTCGTCCAAGTTCTTCCAACTCCAGAGGGACTCGTGGTAACTTTGCAGTAAATAACTCCCACCCCTCTTCATCACTTAGTCCCGTCATATGATATATAAATCTTTGGCTGTGTTCTGGTTCCTTAGAAAGAGCTACTGCTCTATCACGCGTGGTTATCAATATTCTACTTTCATCGGGGAATAAACTTTGAAGGGCATCCCATTGCTTCAATGTCCTCAAATTATCCAAAACAAGAAGATTCCTTCCATTCCTCAAGGCATCTTTGATCCTTGCACTTAATTCTTCAATAGATAATTCCTCTACGTCTACAGACAATTCCCTTTCTTCCATAGCTGATTCTCTTTCTGCCTTTCCCATCCATAACTGTTTTGCTAAGATTTGCAGAGTCCCTTTCAGTTCAAAGTCTTGAGATATGGTCACCCAGGCACGAGAACGAAATGATTAGTAACAACACCACTTTTATAAACTTCCATTGCAAGAGTAGTCTTGACTGCTCCTCTTGCACCTGTAATGGAAACCACTTTGGGGCTCAGTTAACCTTGATACTAATATGTGAATGACTTCCTCTAGACCAACAGCACGTTCTTCTTTTTGTCATCGATAGACAATGATCTCTTTTGCCGTTCCACTGCTCCTGAATCTTTCCTTGCCCTGACCCTGACAACTGAAATTCCTAGCTCATTTCCCCTGGAGACAACTCTCAAGATTGAGGACCTGATGCTTACAATGTCATCAATCAGTTTACATATCTCAACCCGACTCTTGAAAAAAGGGAAAGAGTCCTTGATAAAATTACTGCAACTGGATTGTTTAGATTTTCTTTTCTTAATATAAAAGCATCTATTACAGCTTCCACCTGACTTGCAAGTAATCTTACTTCCTCTCCATAATCTTCCAACCCTGTTTCTTGTATTACATTTTTCGACATAAGATGCATCCCAGCCATTCCTCTTTGTATTAGTCTGAAATCCTCCTCAAATCCATTTAGCAACTCTTGTTCAAAAATTAAAAGGTTTGAAAGATTACCAATTGCTTTAACAAGGCTGGATTCTGTTGTCTTCCATGGGCTTGGGGCCAATGTCTCCATCTTTTACTTTCACCGACAATTCAGTTACAACAGAAAAACAAAAGTTCTATAGCAACTCTCATTTTTGGACAGCAGAAGTAATTAACAAAATAAGATGAAAGCATGACTGATCAACCCATCATATGAGTTGAGACTTCAGACCCAAAAACAAGCAACTTCCCATCAAAACTTAGAGCAAAACAAGCAACAAAATCAAATCAAGACCATCAACAAGAACAACTAATTTTTATCTCAAAGATTTGAAAAAGGAACTAATGTATATATGTAAACAAGATAAAATTAATATAATTAACTTATTGATTTCTAGTTACCTACAAACCCTACATATAACTTGCCTTGGAAAAGCCAGCTTAGTTAAAACATCAAAAAGCTACCAAGTTTATAGCATTGCTTGCATGTAACAACTATAGATCGACTCAGGCAAAACTAAATTTCATAATTTTGGCAATGATGCAAATGGGGTAAACCTGGAAACCTTGTAGATGGTAGTAAGATATCTCACCTGACTATGACTTTCCAATTTTTCTTCTTGTTTCTACTCTTCTTCTTTGACAGCCAAATTCTCTTCTCAAATAGCAGTTTTTATTCAATAGCATTTGAGAGGGAATGGTCTAAAGTTAAACTATATAACTAGGATGGTAACTCAAGGAAAGGAAAAACCTTAGCGTCACTGTAATTAATCAGCTTTTACAATACTTTTTTTCACATGTTCTAGATGTAATAACAAAGTTTGGGCATAAAAAAAAAAAAAAAAAGAGAACAAGGCCTTGGAAACAAAGAAGGATGAAGATTAATCAAAACTCTAGGTTTATATAATGGTAGGATATGAAAATATTTGGCAGAAAAAAGAAAAAAGAAAGAAAGGGATTTAGCAGGTAATATAAAGAGTTTATCTTTGGACAGAGGGAGTTTAGATTTATGTTAGTTTGTCCAAGTAAGGTAAACATATATATGAGGAAAAGAGAAGGAAAAAACTAGCATTGGACATGAACAATAATACTGTTGATGAAACATAGTCAAGAAAACAATTGTTTTAAGTGATCAAGGAAATTGTAATATTACAATGTATATTGAGGCTTCCTAAGAAAATTATTGGTAACACCCAATATGTTGAAATTTCTATCTCATTTCAACTGTTAACTTTATCATTAATCAGTTTTTTAAATTAATTATGACTCAAATGTTTCTTTTAAAATTACATAATAATTAAATGAGTTAATTATATATTATTAGTATGCATATGAAATTTAGAAAAATATATAAATTGATATCTAAAAAAATAAAATGTATAATTTGTACTTTAAATTTTTAAATAATATATAATTTTAATTTTAATTTTAATATTGTTAACTTAACTCGCTTCTATGATATCTAATTAGTACAATTTTATTATATGTATGTTATTTGTTAAATGAAAGTGTTAAGTACTTTTGTAAAAATTTAATGTGGATGTTACATGATAAAAAATTATTGATTAATCTTAAATAATTTTTACAGTTTAGGTAAAAAATTTTTTATATATTTTTAATTTATATTAAAATAGATGTAGATAGTGTGTATAATGAATATATAACTTGATAATATTTATCAAGTATCACATATGTAAGCAGATATGATTAATAGGATTAGACTTTGAGTTAATATTTTACATAATTTGAAAATTTAGGCTGCAAATTGTATATCATTTGAAAGTTTAAAATGCAAATTATTTATTTTATTTCTTTAAATATCAATTTATATATTTTCCTAAAATTCAGATAACAAAAATGTAATTAGCGCTAATAACATTTGATGTATATTAAAAAAATTTAAAAAATAATTAAAAAAATGAAACTTGTGTTTGTGTAGTTAAAAAATTTTATGAACAATGAAATAAAATCGAATTCAATGAGCTAGTCTCTTTTTATGAATAGTAATTTACCAAAAATACATGTAAAAGGCTTTGTTTCGTCAAAAATGATTTTTAAAAAATGATTTTATACATTTTTTGATGTTTGTTTGATAAAAATTTATCTTATCAATAAAAAATGAATCCATTTTTCAAAAAATTATCTTCCTCATTTGAAAAAGAAAAGATAATTTTAAAAAAAGAATCGTTAATGGATAAAACTAATTACCAAGTTGGTGAGCATATTTTTATTTAAATTGAACCTTGAACATGATTTTAAAGTTTGGACTTAATTTGACCTAATCAAAATATTATTATATTAATAAAAATATTTTATTTAATTTTAATTAAAATATTTTAAAATATTAACATTAAAAATTTTCTAATATTTTAATTTTAAATATTTTAATATTCAATCATAAATAGTATTATGTTATAATTTTAATAATAAGTAATATATATTAATATAGTAAATAATATTCTATTATTTTAATCAATAATATTATTTTAATAATATAATTATTTTTTAATCATTTGGAAATATATTACTTTATATTTTATTGACTAATATATTTATATTACTATTTTAATAGTATAAATATTTTAATAATAAATATTACTATTTTAACATTATTATATTAATAAAATAATATTTAAGAATAATAATGCTATTTTAAATATTTTCAAATATGAAAATAAATAATAATAAATACTTTGTTTTAAGTGTTTAGTATTAATATGATATTGTAATATTAAATGTTATTATTAAAATTTAATTATTATTGAATATTAATAATTTTAATAATAAATAATTTTAAATAATAAATAATTTCTAATATTTTAATAATTATGACAATATTATTTAAATAAAAAATAGATTCATAAAAAAATCAAATAATAAAAAATATTTTTCATTGATTCTTTTAAACAACAAAAAAATGTTACTTTTAAAAAAATATAAATATTTTTTAAAAACATTTTCAGAAAATTAATTTACCCAAAAACAGAGGCTTTAAAATCAAAATGTAATATAATTTTTGCACATAATAATATGGTTATTAGATATTTGATTTTCTATTGTAAATAAACAACAGGCTTCCAAATTCGAAGACTAAAAGCTAGAAAAATTAAAAAGGAAGGGGCAAATCGGTCACGCCGGAAAAAGAAACAAAATGAAAACAAAAACATTGAAACAAGGTGCTGAACTCAGCTCCACAAAATCCTTGTATTTTCTATCCATGGCCACGCTTTCTTTTTCCTCCCTGAATTCTCTCTCCTCTTCCTTTTCTTCTTCTTCTTCTTCTTCATCTTCGTCTTCTACTAACCATTTCATCCCTCAACTATACCTAACAAAGCAAGAAATCCCCACACTGTCTCGTTACAAATTTAAACGTAAGAAGCTTTTTTATCAACCCACGAGGCTCATTCTCCACCCTGTTTTGTTGCTCAGTGGTTTTGATAAGCCCTTGGATACCCAAACTATCCTTTCCACTATCAGTGTTTTGGTTGCCATTGCACTCTCTCTCTTTCTTGGCCTCAAGGTGATTTCCCTTTTATCAAATACTCTTCAATTTTTATGCATTATATAGGTTGGAATTTGATGGATTATGGTGGGTTTTTCTTTTGGGTTTTTCAGGGTGATCCTGTCCCATGTGACCGTTGTGCTGGAAATGGTTTTTTTTTTTTCTTTCCTTTTTCTTTGCCCTTTGTTTTGGGACTAATGATAATGAAGCAAATACCAGAGCTTAAAATGGGCTGTACCAATTAGAATGGCAAATGTTTGGAACATGCCAATGGAAAAAATACACAATTAGTCAACCAACTAGTGTTTTTAACATGGTCATCTAACTATTAATTTTTTCAATTATCACTTGAAATTAAGCAAGTATTTTCTTCTCAGCCATTAGTCTGTACGTGAGGCTACCACATCAATGATCATGTATCATGTGGCATTGCCACCTTATTCGACATACCATATGGCATATTGATAGTTAATGTGAAAATGAAATGAAATGGCAGTGTGTGGTGCTTGATAGCTGTTAGTATGTCGTTAAAAACTGGCGGTTGAATGATAAAAAAGAATAATTGCTTAAATTTAATAAATTTAAGTGATTAAATTGAAAAAATTAATAATTAAGTGATTTTTTTAAAAACAGAATTATTGTTGAGTGACTGGTATATGTTATCCAATGATCATCTTTAACAGTGGCAAAAGCTTTACTTTTGGTGATTGAGGACAAAATCTTTCAAAAGCAATTAATGGCAGGATACTACCGATAACTGAAGGCTTTTGGCGGACTGAAAAACACAATTTAGATCCTTCTATATAGACAATAATTTAGAAGCAACTATAGTTTTTTTCTTTTAAGTTTTGTCTCTGTTTTTATATTTTTCTTTTAACGGAAATGTGGCATCCAGCTTCAATACTTATTGATTAAATCAAGCTTCTCCATAGATGGCTTTCTATGCTTGTAAGAACATGCGAGGAAATGCAGCAAGCTAATAAGCATATCTTTTTCGTGATGGATATAGGTGGTACAAAATGTGTCTTCTGCGATGACGGTAAGATGAAGCAAGAAACAGGCTTGATTGATTGTAGGGTGTGTAAAGGTGCAGGTAAGATTTACGGCCATAAATGTAAGGATGCTTTTTGCATATTGGTTTACTCCATTTCGGTTCTTTTTAGCAGTAAAAAAAATAGTTGGAGCAATCAGTGGCTGTGTTTCCATTGAACTTTACATCACCAGCTTGTGCATTCACATGGAAGTTAGTCCGCAACTCTGCATGAGTTAACATCCATGAATATTTCCATCAATTAGTATAAAGTTGTCAGTATAGTGGTTTTTTGTGTCATATTCTGTTTAGTTTGGTCTCTAATTCAGTGTTTGAATGATGTTTCAAACCGATAACTCTTTAAATTTTAATCTGTTGGATTGAGCCTCCTTGCATTTTTTTTTTAACGGGATTGCTGGTATCCATATAGGATTGATATTTTGCAAGAAATGTGGAGGTTCTGGATATTCTAGACGTTTGTGAGCTATGGTTCTGCTTGCAACAGTCACACTCACAGACACACACATACACACACACACATATATATATATATATATATATTATCCGTAAGGCTAGTTTATCAGTGCTTTGTAATTCATTCATCCGATCACTTCTTTCTTTTTTTTTTTTCTCTTTCCTTTTTCCTTTGTCTTGTTGTCTGTCTCCTCCTCTTGTATCCAACTGAGTATGTAATTCGGAATATCTGCTTGGGTAATTACTACAAAAGCTATAAATTTCTTTGTGATTTTGTTCCATTTCAATGATTTGTCTTCTAAAAGTAATTTCCTAGTGACCAAATCTAGTTTTTAAACACCTTAATGTTAGTGATTTTCTTTTATTAATTTGGAAAAAGAAAAATGAGTTTTCCCCATTTGTTTTGATGTAAAATTGCCTAGAATTCTGGTTTTCTTTTATTTCCATGTAATAAGGTAGACGGCTAATATATGGAGTCATATAATCCAAATTAAACAAGCATTGAGTAATATAATCAACGTTAGGCCAGAAGATTTTTATAAGTAAACTTGTGAGAATCACAAGCAAACATTTTCCTATTGACCTTTGTACCAATGAACAAGGTTTGATTAGATAGGACCATGGTGATTCTTGCAGGGGGAACTGTAATTGTAATTCCAAAACAAAAGCTTTCTGTTCACTGTTGCAAGTTGAAACATTGCTAAAAGGTCATTTTAGAAATAAAATGGAAATAAAGATAGAAAAACTTTATGATAATTCACTTCAGATTCTGCACCATACAGCAGGATTTTTGGTGTAAATTTCTGAAATCAAGATTCTCTGAATTTCCCTGTTCGGTTAATTAATTCAAGGAACGTTTTCTGCTTGCAACTATTTAGAAAGGTATATTTATTTTTTCTCAATTTGTTTGGTACATATTAATTTTCACGAAATTTAATAAAAAATTTTGATTTTAATATGTTTAATATTAAAATTAATTTTTTTAAAATTAAAGTTTTATCATTTTTAATATAAAAAAAAATTTTTTAAATATAATTTTAAAATATAAAAAATAAAAATTTTAGATGTTAAAAAAATTGACATAATTTTGAAACATAAAAAATAAAAAAATAAAAAATGAAACAAAGGGAATAAATGTTAACGTCACGTCAAACAATAAAGAAAAAGTAAATAAAGTGTTTTAATCTCCATTTCGATAAAAAAAAATAATGAATATATAAACGTTGGTGTTGTACATTTTATAAATAAAAATCAAAATTAATTTTGGATTGTCGGAGTTTATACTTAGATTTTATAATTTGTATTATTGTATCATATTTTATATTAAATTTAATTTTAAATATGATATTTTGATATAAATATAATATTTTTATTATACGTATTACACATAATATGATATAATTAATATATTTAAAATTAATTTATACCTAATTAACATAACATGATATGATATATTTAATATAATTATACATGAATAATACGATTTGATAAGATTAATTATTTAAATAATACGATACAACATGACACGATTAATATGATTATATACGAATAATAAGATTAAAGATGATTAATTTATTTATTTAAATAAAAAATAATATTTAAACAAAAAATTATTTAAAAATTAAATATTTATAATCTATTTAAATATTAAAATAATATGATAAATATGATTATTAATTTATTTTTTAAATAAATTAAAATAATTTTAAAAATTTTTTATGTTATAAACAATATTGTGTCATAAGCATATCATTATTATTTAATACGAACATAATACGAATAATATCATATCTTAATCTTATCGATACGATTAAGATATCAAATATAATTATATTAAATTTATATATAATTTTTTATTATTTTTATATCATATTATTATATCATATATAAAATTATCATGTCAGCCAACGTTCTAACGGGAGAAGTAAGGTGGGTTAGTCGAGTTTATCTATGGGCACAGGGCGTAACCGGCATGGGTTAGCCACGCCAAAGCCTTTTAAAGGAAGTCCGTTCCGGGATAAACAGAGTGAGAGTCAATTTTACGCGAAGGCCTCGAAGGGGTAGGCTGGATGGGTTAGACCACGCCAAGTCTTGAAGGGGAGTAGGTAGATGGGTCGTGATGAGAACGTAGGAAAGAGTATGCTTCAATTGCACATCGATGAAATGAAAGATCGTGACCGACGCACTAAATATCAAATTAGCGGTTGAAAGCTGTTTGTCCTACTAAACCTTACTACAGAAAACTACAGAAACAACAGGCCATTAGCCAAATAATATACTACAGCCCTTAACAGAAAGCCACCTCCATTTAACTTTTTCTCTGTTTCCTGCTCTCTCCATCCTACCCTAGGCTCTTCTTCTTAACCTCCGAATTCCATCTTATCCCCCACTGAAGTAGGAAAGATGTCTAGCATGGCTGTGTCTGCTTCCACTACTACCCCTCCCTATGAGGTTGATGAATGCAGAGGAGTCCTTCGTGTTTACAGCGATGGCTCTATTTGGCGTTCCTCTAAACCAAGCTTCAGTGTCCCTGTTGATGATGATGGCTCTGTTGTGTGGAAAGATGTTCTATTTGATCCTGTGCACAACGTTCACCTCAGGCTCTATAAGCCAGCTTCACCATCATCTGCCAAGCTCCCCATCTTCTATTACATCCATGGCGGTGGCTTTTGCATTGGATCTCGTGCCTGGCCTAACTGTCAAAACTACTGCTTCAGGCTTGCTTCAGAGCTTGAAGCAGTAGTGATTTCACCAGATTATCGTTTGGCTCCTGAGAATAGACTCCCGGCAGCCATTGAGGATGGTTCCACGGCTGTGAAATGGCTCCGAGCTCAAGCTCTGGCTGAGAATCCTGATTCATGGTTAACTGATGTAGCTGATTTTAGCAACGTGTTCATATGTGGTGACTCAGCTGGTGGTAATATTGCTCACAATTTGGCGGTTCAACTAGGGGCTGGCTCATCTGATTTGGCTCCAGTTCAGGTCAAAGGCTATGTCCTTTTAGCTCCTTTCTTTGGAGGGACAGTGAGAACCAGGTCGGAAGCAGAGGGACCAAAAGATGCCTTTCTTAATTTGGAGCTCATTGACAGGTTCGTGATAGTTTTAAACAAGTCTATAACATTTTTCACTTGCATGAGTAAGAATCGGGTGTCAATACCAAGAGAATTCTTAAATTTATTGGTTTACATGCTTAATATATGTCCAGGTTCTGGAGGTTATCTATACCAATTGGAGATACGATGGATCACCCACTGGTAAACCCTTTCGGACCAGTCAGTCGCAGTCTTGAACATTTGAATCTTGATCCTATTCTGGTAGTGGTTGGTGGAAGTGATCTGTTGAAAGACCGAGCAAAGGAGTACGCCCAAAGACTGAAGAGCTGGGGGAAGATGATCAAATATGTTGAATTTGAAGGACAACAACATGGGTTCTTCACTATTAATCCAAACTCTGAACCTGCGAAAGCTTTGATGAAGATAATGAAACGCTTCATCACTGAAAATTCCAACTGAGAGGGGTCGTTTTGAGCTCATGTTTCAATTTCTATTAAGCTTGTCCTTGGAGCGTTGTTAATGTTGTATGTGTTAAAGAGTGTGTGGAAATGTGGAATCCTTGGATCACAAAATTAAGATTCACTTCACCAAGTACCAATGGCATGATAAGATGAAGACCACATTGTTAAAAACCCTTCTTTTTTAATCTTCTCATTATCCTCCTCTACGGCATTGCCTCATAGCCACGTGTAAAATTCTTCGGACATTTCTGTAATTTGGTATTTCTTTCAAAAAGATATAAAAAATCCACGCTCTATTCAAAATTTTCAACCATTCCTAATGGTCACAATTTCAGAAACATAGTAGCATCTTCACCGTCCGATCCCAGATTCTACTTCTCTTCGTTTTTCCCTCAAAAAAAAGTTAGCAAACCAGTTCAAATCTCACGTTACCATACAACTTTCCTTCCTCCCAAACACTCCATAACATCTCTCTCAGACCCTAGTCACTTCGCTTTCACTTAAACGAATCGTTTCCTTTCAAAATGCCGTTCCTTTCCGACACGGCGAGCGCAATCAAGAGCCGTTTTGGTTTCCAGGACTGGTACTTTTCCTCCGAATCGGTCTCGTTGTTGTCGTTTCGTAGTCCTCCCGATCCTCTGGTGAAATCAAAGGTGAGGGAGAATCCTGGCCATTCCGCTGCCGTCACGTCGTCAATTCGGAGCATCGTTGACTGGGACGATGATGAGACTGAGAGAAATGAATCAGCGCCGCAGTCGTCCCAGGGCTTTGAATTCCGCGAAGATCCGTGGTTCTGGAGGGAGCATAATGTGCAGGTCAGTTGAAATGTTTGAATCTTATCTTTAATTTCCGTAATGAATTAGAAAAAAGAAAGAAAAGAAATATGCTGAATAGCCAAAAGCTAATAAATTTTTTTATAAGTATTTCCCATGAAAGTAAATTTATGTGACATAAAGGACAAAAGTCTTGAATATCATATCGAACATAATAGGAGGGTCATTGTGATATATAAGGATTCACATCATTTTCGTTTTGTGAGGTATCTTTTGTAGGACAAAATTGTGAGATCAGGGGGTCAGAGCGGACAATACCTCATAAGGGTGTGAACCGTGGCAGGTAGGCTGATCTGAGACGTCGGAAGGGTGAATGCCCGGGTCCCGAAGCCGCGCGGGTTCGGAGCTTGAGTCTTGACCCGTGACAAGTGGTATCAGAACCAGCCTTAAATCATTCGATCCACGTCAAGCACCTCGAGGGAGGTAGGCAGGGTGGTCAGTCTTCGTGACGAGGGCGTCACAAGGTTGAGTGCAGGAGAATGTCAGGGACTTAAGAAAGAGTCTTGAATTTCACATTAAACATAATAGGAGGGTCACTGGGATATATAAAGGTTTACACCACTTCCGCTTAATGAGACGCCTTTTGTAGGACAAAACTGTGAGGTCAGAGAGATTAGAACGGATAATATCTTACAAAGATGTGAACCGTGAATGTTCAGATCTCGGAACCGCGCGAATTCGAAGTTTGAATTTCGACCCGTGACACTTGGACGTAACCAAATTAGTGAACCACTTAAATTCTCGTGTGTCTCGTTTTCATTATTATTCTCTCAACTTTTAGTTTAGTTGCGTGTTGTCACTTCTGCAAAGACTCTCAAATCCTAACAAGTAATATCAAAACAGCAAGGCTGGAGTTTTTGGAATATGACATTGTTAAAGTATACGGTACTGTTTACAAAACATACTGTTCACATATGCGGTACTGTTCACGTATACTGAAAGTTAGTACTGTGGATAAATATGTTCTAGGAAGTTCTATCTAATGAGGTTGGGTTTTAAGTGAGACCGCTTGTGACCTTCCAATCTTTTTTGGAAGCTTAGTGAAAGTATTGTCCCTATGATACTATTTTTTGTATACGCTATAATTTGTTAGCGAGATGGTAGTAATTGAGCAAATCATAAGTGAACTAATAGAGACAAAATACGAGATCAAGAGGTTCAATGGAAGCAATTTCTCATTGTGGAAAATAAGGATGAAGGCAATCTTAAGGAAAGAAACTTGTTTAGTAGCAATTGAAGGCAGGCCTGCAGAGATCACTGATAATGCCACAATTATAAAGTTTATGATACAAATTATATATGTCTTTAATATCGATTTTTACATTTCATTATAGACTTTTAACATTAAAAATTCAGTATTTATATTTTTAGTATTAGATTTTAATTTATCAAATGTTAACTGATATTAGTAAATGGAAAATGTCAACTGATGTTTATCGACATCGGTTAATATTATATTTATAAACAAAATATAATCAATATCTCGTTCTTGAATTTTTACGAGTACACTGTATTAAATGAAAAAAAAATTCTTGGTAAATTTTGGCTGAAGAAAAGGTAAATAATAATAATAATAATTTTTAATTAAAAATCAAACTCACACGAATCATGCAATAATTACTGAATTAGATATTCGGATGCAATAATAATATTTTTTTTATTCATTTGAGAATAATTTCTAAATTGTAATTATTAAGGCAAACCAAAATGGGTGAAGCTGACCATTTGGTTGATGAGCATTACAAGGGTAATCAAGAGGGTCACTAGATCTTATTTTTGACAAACGATGTCGCATTTGCAGAGATGCTCATTATCTGGCAAAGGCTGATAAGAACAGTGCATTGCCTTTGCGGAAGCTCCATACTCTTGCATTTATGGCTTCAAAACATTCGAAAGCTTCATTGTTGCAGCATGTCCCTGCTATTTTCAGTTTAGTTGGACAGAGCATAAGTTCCTTTGTAGAGGCGGAACTAGAGAGGACAAGCAGGCCATAGCGAGGGATGATAATGAGTTGAGTCAGAACGAATTTTTATTCGTCTCGAATTTGATTTGATTTTATACTTAAAATATTCGAATTTAATTTAATTTAATTTTTTAATATTATTTTATATCTGAATTCGATTCGATTTGATATTATATAAAATCGTATTTGATTCAATTTGATCCGAAATTAATAAAATATTATTTTTAAAATATAAAATATTTTTTAATATAAATATAAATTTAAATAAATATAAAAAATTTATAAATATAAAATTAAATAAATAACTAAAAATAATTTTTAATAAATATATATCAAGTTGGGAGCAAACTTGCCTTTGAAATTTTTTTATTTTTATTCGATCCAACTCGATTCAATACTTGATTTAAAAAAAATTAATCTTAAATAATCGAATTAAATTAAAACTCATCAATTACGAGTGAATTTATCATTCATAATCATGACCTTTCCAAAAAATTTTACTTCTTTTATTATACAAATCATCGATCCAACATAATTACTATTTTGATCCTTTATTTCCCTTTGAAATTATTGTTTAGTTCTTTTATCAATCTCCTACATTCGTCTCCACAAATATATTACACGAAATTTCATTAACATGAAATTGCCGAAGTGGAGGATGGGAGAAAAAAAAAAAAAACAAAAAAAAAAAGGAAAAACCTTTCAAAAAAATGTTTTTTTTTTTAAATATGTTTAACAGCTTGGTATCGAGTGTGATTTATATTACGTTAGTTGATATTTAATGTCAAAAGTGATGATTTTATATATATATATATATATATATATATATATATATATATATATAAACAAAACGATGCACGTTTTGACAACTTGAAATTAAAATGAAATTTTGTTGAAAATTAGGAGTAAAAAATAACCAAAGTTCAAAAACTACAGAAGTTGATGACTCTAAAAAGTTGATAAGTTTAATATATTTTCAGCGTATAAATATTATATATTATTAATAAATTATATAATAATATATCATAAAAATTAATTTTAAAAATTAAAAAAATATATATATATATAATTATTTTTATGAGATATTATTACATGATTTATAGAGAGTTTATAATATTTATACATCGATAATATATTAAATATAAATTAAAAAACCAAGTAGGAAACATAATTACAAGTAGTTTTAAACTGGAGAGTTTACAGTGGATCATTACATGCAGAACAAGAAAAAGGTCCTTGGCTAAGCTTATGACCAACCAAAACCAATTTATGCGTATAACCACACGCCCTTCGTTTTCTTCGTTTGTTTGCACGTTTTCTTCTTTCGGTGCTCGTTTGATTTTTTCAACATAAGCCAAGACTTGGCTTATTAAAGTCAATCTCGTCGACTTGAATTATCAAGGCTATTATCTAACACCCAATTGGTCAGAAATAGACCATGAAAGCCATATGGTACACGCCTAGGCAACTTAACTGCTGCAATGGTAGTGAAATCGGGTGATTTGGCATCCATCATAAGGAATATCGATTCATCAGTTTGCTCATTGTGAACGTAAGTCATGACAAATCCATCATCTTCATCATTGAATTCGACATCTTCGTCTTCTTCACCATTCCTTCTCACAAATAATGGCTCTCCTCCAAAACAACCAGGTCCATAAAATCTTCTTCCAATTTCAATCCCTGTTTCCAAGTCAATCTTTACCAAACCTGATGTTTTTGGGGTCTCTTCAAGCACTCCAAGATACAAGTAACGGGTTTTCTTTCCTATATAAGCTTTATTTATTGATCCAAGCTCCAAATTTCTTGTCGAAAGAATGTTTCTACAAACATTCCCTGTCTTGGTATTGATTTTTACCTTCTCCAAAACAACATCCAATTTCTTCTTATTTAAAAAATTTTCCAAAGACATGATATTTGATGCCACGACCACAATCTCCTCGTCACCATTTTCCCAAGCATTTATGATATGAGATGCGTTGAATCCTGGAACCTCAAACCACTTCAACTCTGAGTCACATTTGGCATACCGTGGCAAGATCCCAATTCTAGTGCTTTTTTTCGGTTCATAAACCAGAGGGGCGCCTCTTCCGAACAATACTTTTGGTAGTGAAAACACTAGCTGCGTCTCGTGAAAAATTGCGAACCTCTTGGTTATAGCAAAATCATGAATTAAATTTGGTTTATGTATGGAAAAGATTGGTACTTCTTTTTGTTTAACACCCTTTTCGTCGATTCGAAAGAAGGTAAGATGCGGGAATGCAAAGCTCCAAGAAAAAGCAAATGTCTCCTTCGTTTCCTTATCGAATTTGGGATGTGCAGTCATGGTGGAGAGCAACTTTTTATCAATGTCCCAACGCCCCAAAGTCTCAATGTCACCTTGCTGAGTTACATTAACAATATATGGCAAGTCAGACTCACATAGAGCAAAAAGTTTACCTGAAAAGAAAGCAAGGCTAGTATTGGCTACACCAATCCCCTTCATGATATCTAGATGTCCAGTTATGATTCTAGTTATGCAAACACAAAAACGAACAATATCGAGTAGGCCATAAAGGCCAGACAACATGTTTGGGACCATGGGAAAACCAACTTCTCGCTCGAGCATATATTTGTAAGTCTTGACATAGCGGTTACAGTATGTTGCACGACCATTTGATAATCTCAAGGAGTGAAGCATGCCATCGCCTTCGAACAAATGTAAAGCACGACAAGGTTGATGTAGCGGGTTTGGACCATTTCGGATGTAAACGCCGTTTAAAGAGAGTGGAAGCTTACCCTCTATTACTTGACAATCCGTTGGTTCCATTTCCTCCACTGGAGCCAAGTTTCCCTGAAAGACATGAATCGGATCGACAGAAGGGTTAAGAGGCGGATCAATGATGTTGGAAAAGAAGTGGAGGATGGAAGTTTTCATGGTTTTAATGTTCATTTGCAAGGGAGTAGTTTTTTTTAAGGAAAAAAATATGGGAACCAATGCTTTGGGTTTTGGGGTTGGTCGGATCATCACAACCTCAAAAGGGAAACTCAGAATTGGTGAACATGTTGTTGATGATTTCATTTTGGCCTTTGGGTGATTCTTTAATCACATTGGTCTATAAATAAGGAGATACAAATATGGTACGTAATGCAAAAATTGAAAGCAAAGGAAGGCAAATAGTTGAATGCAAGTTGCTCATTTACTTTTTTTTTTTTTGGGGGGGGGGGGGGGGTGAGTCGTATTATCAAATTGATTGATACCGTCATGTTTAATAAATTTTTAATTTTTTATAATTTTATGTTCAAATTAAATTTTTTTTTATAATTTTTTATAATTAATTTTAAATTGAATACTTAAGATCTCATATACATTGCATTGTATATACAAGTGGGTTGACTGTTGACAGGAAAGAAACGTTGGAAAAGAACAAATTTTAGTTTTGGACGCATTCATTATGTTTATCATTAATCTTCACATATAAAATCAAAGATTAAAGTAATCATGCCCATGTTTTTTTGGAAGAGATATAGATAAATTTTTTTAAGTAAAATTTGTAAAATTTTTAATTAAAATAATTAAATAAAAATTAAAATCGAAAATCAAAATTGATAAATTAAAAGAGTTCGTTACATAAATTAAAGGTGCAAAATCTGAAAAAATTTGGTATATATTTTTAGATAGATATTTTTAACAAAAATATTGATATAATTTTTACTGTTGAATAAATATTAATCAAATTTGAATTGTAAATAATATTTTTAATTTTTTTTACATATTATTAATTTTCATATTAAACTCTATAAATTTATTGGTTTGAATTTTTTATTAAAGTTTTTATTAAATCATTTTTAAAAAAATTCACAAATTTCACTTAAAAAATTTCATTTAAGTTTTTTTCCTGTTTTTGCTAGTAGATCCTTGATTCTTGATTGTGTTATATGCAAGTACGTTAAAAGTGTGGTTTAACGTGATAACACCACCAAAAATTTTAGTTTTACTAATGGAATTTTTCGTTGATAAAAGCTAAAAATTCGTCAATAATAGCATTAGAGACAGTTTTAGCGATGAAAAAATTTCGTCGGTGTTAGCTATGTTGGTAATGCTATTCTGTCGATAATTATTGAAATCCATCGATAAATTTTGTTGATAATTTATTACCAATGAATTTACCTACGAAATTTTTTATCGGTAAATCTGTCAGTAATATTATTTTTCAATCATATTTAACTATTATTTAATAATTTTTATCATTTTATTATATTTTTAAATTTATTTTTAAAGTAATTATATGAATACTAACATATACATAAATAAAATAAATATATAAATAAAACATCCTATTTCATTTATAAAAAACTATCATAATAATTTACAAAATTATGTATAAATTCTAATTAAAAAAATATAAAAAACAAAAGTCCTATTCTGTTTATAGTTTACACCACAATGTTGAAAGTGGAATGAAATTTTTATAAGATTACAACAGAACACAATCTATCAGGTATTATTCTAAACATGTCATAAAGAATTTTTGGCTTGAATGTTCAAATAATGAAAATAAATAAAAATAAAATACAACCAGGACATAACTTGATATATCTTCTTCATTTAATGAGAAACATAAATTCCATCTTCATCACCTCTACCCATAATAAATGATGACATGCAAATGCCTAAACAAAGAAGACAAGAAAAGAATGTGAGATGCATAAAGAAATTGAACGATCAATGAAAAGTAAGATGCAACATGAAAATTCCATGTATAAACCATATGCAGATTGCACATGCAAACTAATAGAGGACATGACTGGAAAGAATATATTCTATTTACTAATCTCTACACTATGAAAAAGCAAACATTGCCACCCCAATCAAACTACGAAAAGCAAATCAAAGGCTACTATTTAGCAAATTCACACCCATATACACATACATTCAAGGTGTACGATCCAAAAAAACCTACATTTACCCTTCATAAATATTTACATAATTGCACATTTATTAGATGAACAATAATTAACACTGTTTTCAATTATGCTAGGTTTAGTATACTACAAATAAGCAAGAATCTCTCAAAATTTGTCTCTATTTACCTTTTTAATAAATGCATGTACTATATTTTCCATGTCTTGCACAATGCTTTTAGGTCATCCCTTTACATGACAAGTCAATTACCACAACTTATTAGCTAAATTAATCCACATCATGACATGAATATGTCAACATAAAAAAACTTGCAAAAGGTTGAAACACTCACCGATAGTTACTTCTGCAAGTCTAGGAAAATCAACCAATGTCAAGTTCGCCACTACAAAAGAATTGAAGCAAAATAAAGTAATAAATAAAAGCAAAAGACTAGAAATACATTTAGCAAATTTTACAAAAGAATTGAAGTTCAAAAAATTGGAGGTAATAATTCAAGCCAATTTTAAAAAATAGCACAGATCCAATCTACCAATAAACTAATAATAACCATTGAATGATAGATAGTAGGTATACTTGTTAATTTCAAAAGTAAAGTAAGCTCATGTTGATATTGTAAAAAAGTTGGCAAGATGAATTGAAACCACTAAGTTACTAATTTGAATCCTTTAATTTTCTTTATCTTGGATGAAAATAATTGGGAGGTTCAATTTGGGTACAAAATAATTATTGGTTTATTTTAGATAACACCTATTCATGAAAAGGGATTAAACAACTTGACTAGTACTTTTTTTCACCATTAAGAGAAAAGATACTGAGATGGATTGGAACACTAGAGATTTGTTTGGTACGACCAGTTTCTCTATCTATCTTATCAAAAATCCCTTGCTTAACAATAGCTACAAAAATGTAACACATTCATATATAAGCTCAGCCTTTAAGATTAAACAAGGATATAAATAACTAAAAGAAATTGCAAAAATTAATTCAAGAACATAGTACTAAAGTTAATTGATCGTGACAGCATTAAATTAACAAACGGATTTATAGATAGATTATGGACAAAAAGAATAAAATAGAACAATTTAATTTATTTATATTAAGTTTGATCAATACAATAAAACCACAATAATTCAATAATTAGTAACATATAAATTTCACTAAATTATCAAATACATAAATTACTTTAAAATAAATATAAATCTTATTCTACATCAAACCCAATTATAACCTCAAATCAACATAAATAATTTTAATTTCTATAATTATTATTAAAATTTAGAAAATATTAAATATAAAACATCCATCAAAATTTATATAAATCTTAATACATATCAAATCCAAATTAACATCTAAAGGTTAATAAATCTATAACAAAACCTAACAAATCTCAACAAAACTTTCACAAATAAAAAATAAATTACTGAACAAATAAAAAAATTCCCCAACAATACTAAAAATAAATAAATAAATAAATAAATTATACTCAATGTTGTAACATATAGATTCGTAAACCTACCGTTAGACATATGTGAGAGGAGTCGCCACCAATCTTTTTTTGTTTAAGTATGATTGGTCACCTAAAACAGATTTTGATCCACAAAATCAGATTTCAGGTTTAAGAGTACGGTTATCGTGGGAAAGATTATAGCACCCCTACAATGTCCATCCAATGGATGGTATCAATTTGGTTTCAAATTATTCAAGCCTTGATCATATTTGTAATTTATCAAATTATTTAATATTAAAAATATATCTTTAAATTCTCCTAATAGTTTGGTAGCAATATAAGATAATTTTCTCACTTCAAGAGTATTCATGGAGACTAGTCTCTCACCTTGAAGAGGCTATGTTATCGGATTTATTAATTTATTTTACTCTAAAAAATTGGTAAAGTCTCCTAATGGTTTGATAAGACTTACTTTGAAGTAGATCTCTTAATAGTTTGGTGAGATTTTATTATAAAAAGATTTTATGAAATTTTTTTTAGAATTTATTAACTCTCCCAATAGTTTGATAAGACTTAATTTGAATAAGTCTTCTAATAGTTTAGAGGATAAAAATATTTTTTTTATTTTGATATTTTTTTTTTTGAAAATTGATTTATAAGATTTCCTATTTGAAAAGTTATTTATTTATTTATTCTCATTGTTATTGTTATTATTTATTTTTTTAAGAAATAACCATAAAATTTTATAAAATAGTCAGTAAAAATAAATAAGTAAAAAAAATCAATAAAACAGATAAAAAGATTAAAAATAAAATAAAATGAAATCAATTAAGAATATAAAATAAATAAAAATCATAAAATAAAAAGAAAACAAAAAAAGAAAAACTTGCGAAATGAATCGGGTTTGCTCACAAATATTCACGTGGGTTATCGGGTCAACATGCAGATCTGGGGTATTTAAAACGACATCATTTTGGGTCAGTATATAAGCCAAGCTCAGTGTTTCAACCTCAGAATCTCAGTCCCCTCTCTTTCTAGCTTTAGGATTCTTTACCTTTTCTTTAAAATCCATCCGAAAACCCCACTGGAAACTAGAATTGGTCACTAGTTTCTGGAAATTTTATCAAAATCTAGCCGAAAACTTCAACCTTCGCCAAAAAGATCAATGAAAAATTCAAGCATTCATCGAAAAATTCATCCTAATTCAGCAAAACACAGGAAAACCTAGAAAACCTTTAAATTTTTCTAGAAAACTCCAAAAATCTCCCATAATTTCACTTTAAACTCTAGAAACTTAAACACCAATCCAAAATTCCAAAAAACATTTCAAAATCAAAACCCAGAACCCTACTACCAAAGATTTCATAAACGGCTATCACCAGTAATTTGCTACCTTTTTTTTGCATCGTGTCCTGTCTTTTTTATTGTGAGTCCAATTTATAGGCAACCTTAGAACCGGTTTTAAGAAATGAACAGAATTAATATCAAGCTTGAATCCTATGATTGAGTTCTATCCAAGCGTGATTTTAGGCCCCATAATTTTAGCAATCATACTGATATGATCTTACATTAAAACTTTGACCACGTTGGTGAGATTTTGACCCTAATTTCTTATCCAGATTTTTTTGTTCACATGCGGATTGGGACAAAAGGAAAAAAGAAAATAATAATAATAATAATAGAATAATGATAAATATAATAATAGTACTAATAGATCATAATATTAATAATATACTATCTAATATATTATACTATATGATATAATAATAGTAATAGTAATAGTAATAGT